ATTATAGAATATACTCAAATCTTAGTTCATTAGCACAGGTAGGTAATTTATAAGTAAATATTAGGTTGAACCACAGCAATTGCTGATACTCAATCATTTCAATCTTCAAAAATGGCAATTATCACGGATTGACAACATATACCTGTTGGGAATATGTATGCTCTAAGTTTTTACTGTTCGTGTCCAAGAATAAATGTGGGAGACTCTGGCCAAGACAACCGTCCTCAGGTCGCCACCCCCAGCCCCATAGCTTAGTTCTGTACCCCAAGGGGGCTTTATGATATTTAATTTGAATAAGTAATACATGCAAATAGCATACATTCAAATGGTACTGAAGTGTGGTCACTAAAAAGTAAGTCTACCTGTCCCTCAGCTACCAGCTGCCCTTCCCAGAGACAGTTCTTTGTGTATCCTAACCAGAGGAACTTTGTACTCATATGAGCAATGTGTACGTGTCTCTTATAGAAATGTTAGCACACAGCAACACTGTCATATCCTTGCTTTTCCCTTGTAAGCAGCATAGCTTAGGAAACGTTCTATCTGTGCAGTTGCCTCATTTCTCTTGGCTGTTTAACATTCCACTGTGTATACTGTACCAACATTTATTTAACCAGTTCTCTGTTGCTGGCAGTAATGCTGTTGCCTATCTTGCTGGGTCGTATAGTGTTTTTTTCTATCCTCACCCAAGGATGTGTATTGATTTTAGAGAAGAAGGGAGAGAGACAGAGAGAGAGAGACAGCAACATTGGTGTGAGAAACATCGATTGATTGCTTCCCATTAGTGCCCCAATCAGGGATCAAACCCACAACCTTTTGGTGTAGGAACAACGCTCCAACCAACTGAGCCACCTGGCCAGAGCTCCTATGGTGCTTTATACACCTCATTTTGTAAGTGTGTTGAATACCTGTAGATAGTTTCTTAGCAGTGGGATTGCTGAGCCAGAGGGGATCTGTCGAAGGGCTTAAACACATGGAACTCATTCATCGTCCTGATCATTAAAAAAAAAAAAGGATACTTTTATTTTTTTTCTCCTTTTCCTTTCTTCTTTCTTTCTTATTCCTCCACTTCCTGAGAATTTGACTTGGGCAGTTTGTTACCCAGAACAGTCGGAATATTCTGGAACTTTAAACTTTGTAGGCAGCACAACCGTGACCTCTGGTGCTGCTTTCCAGGGTGGAGCTGCAGACCCTTATCTTTAGGCCATTCAGGCCAGTGCTGGTGGTGCAGGCTGCTCAGCCAGCCTCCAGCTCCACAGGCTGTGGTACCAGGAGGCGCCGGCAGGTGGCAGGCAGCGCCCCGCCAGTGGCCCGGGCCTTTGTGAGGCTCTTCTCCGGAGAGCAGCCAGAACCAGAGCCTTTGGACCCTTTCCCAATGACCTGCCCTCCCAGCAGCAAGCCCAACTCGGTAGGAGAGGGGGTGGGGCTGCCGGATCCTTTTCTCCACCTAGTTTTGCATCATGTCTTAATGAGTGAGCAGTTTAAAATCGCCAGCCGCTGCCTGGAGGATGGGCTTCAGGAGGCGGCACACCTCAGGGTGACAGCCTGGTGCCTACTCCCCATCCAGGAACTAGCTGGGAGGATTTACATACCATGACCTGGGATGGCTTGGGTTTTCTTAATTGTAGGGCCCTACTTCCTGTCTCTTTCAGCCAAATCTCCCACACCCTTCCCATGAATTAGGAGGTCCGCAGAAGCGGCTCTTACTCACCACCCTCTACTCCACCCCCTGTGCTGTGTTCTAGGAAAAAAATAATGAGCCAGAGATTTGAGAGGCCCTGGGGCCAAGTGCTGATCCCTGGCCCGCCTTCTTTGGGGGCACAAGGCCTTGGGGACCAGCTGGACCCAGGGCTCAGGCTGGGGGCACCCCCAGGCCCCAGATCTGTCCCATTGCATCCCAGTCTCTCTTGCTTACTCACTGTCTGACAGATCGGTGCAGCACCTCCTCAGGCAGGGATCTTGCCCTTCTGTGTTGGGGAGACCCTCCAGCTTTTGGAGGCGACTGGGGGAGACGGGAGGGCACAGACTGCTGGTGGGAAGAGGGTGGAAGGGGCAGCTGCAGTGGTTGCCTCTTCCCAGCCACTCCCCCAACCGGAGACTAGCCATGTTTGAGGTGTTAGTAGCATTGGGGGGCCCTGGAATAGGTGCTCCCCTGGAGTCCCACAGCTCTCCTCCTCCTAGTTTAGGTCCCTAGATCTTTAGGGACCGCTGGGGTTTTTCACAGGCTGGTGAGTGATATGGGGACAGAGTGGGTGGGGACGTTCAGGGCAAGGAATTTCATCCCTTTGTGGGCCAGTTCATTCTCTGCCAGGGTGGCTGTGATCTCCACAGTCGTCCAGCACCCCAAGCGGGGTTAGTGCATGTGAGAGACAGAACCTGCAAGAAGACTCAGGCTTAGGGTGGGGTGAGGGGACGGTGGGGTTCAGGGAAGGGCTGGCAGGAGGCCCTCCTCTGTGAGCTCCCCAGGATCATTTCCCAGCAAAGCAGGAATTTGCATACTCACTGGTTTCCCCATCAGCTTCTCAGCTTCTAGAACCAGGAAAAGAAGAGGAGGAGAGCAGGCAGGGCAGCCGAGGCGTTTGATCCCCTCCAGTGCCTCAGTGCTAGCGCTTCTGTCCCGGAATCAGGCCCAGGCCCTGCCACCCTCGCCTCCACACCAGCCCATGGGAACCTCACAGCTGTCATGTGGGGCAGGCCAGGGAGCTGAGGGCCTGGGAGGAGAGGGAGTTGCCCAGGGCCACACAGCCAGGGAGGGGACTTCTTCTCATGCTGCTGCCGTGAGAACTGAGGTATCATCTTGTCAAATCCAGAGAGAGGCAGGGATCCCTGTGTCCCTTTTACAGGTGGGGACACGGAGGCCCCATTCGTAAAGGTGCTTCAAGAGATGGTGGGAAGAACTTCCCAGTTGAAACAACTCGTGGGAGAGACATCCTGGGCATTTGGCCTGGCAGCCTCTGAGTGGCTCTGCCCAGAAGTCCGATTGAGAAAGAGGCCTGGAGGGCAGGCTACCAACCCTGGATGGCCAGCCCCGCCAGGCTGGGGCTGCCCGGAAAGCACAGGATACAAGCTCCGGCCAACAGGGCCCTGAACTGACCTCAATCCTCCCCGGAGCACAGCCCCAGCTGGCACCTGCCACCTGGGCTCCATTGCCCTTGGTGTCTGTCAACAAGCCGTCAGGGACAGACCTGGCCTCCAGACATTAGCCACAGCCAGCCTGGACCTGCCACCACCTGCCCACTTCTGTAGGATCTTTACGCCCCCTCCCCCCCAAGCAGAAGCAGCAAATGACCAAGAACTCGGCTCTGGTCAAGGACCAAGTCTAAGCTCTCAAGTCTATGGACAGGCGGCTGGTGGGATGGGAAGAGGGGTGAAGGCATCCTGTTCTGCTTCCAGGCCCCTGCTGCGGCCTCACTGCCTTCATGCTCCCTTGTATCCATTCATACAGATAGAGGTGGCTTGGCGGCTGGGCTGCTGGGTGCCTGTTGCTGAGCAGGTGGGAGGTGGTCATGTCAGTCACGCTGGAGGGATTCCTATGTAAGTGACGTAAGCAGAGAGGGTTGCAAGGTGCGAGGTTGAGCACACCGCCTCCATCCCTCCCAGGGCCCTCCCTTCCCCAGGTTTGTGGGGCCAGGGGACCTGAACTTGAGGCCCTGCCCAGTCCACCCCTCTCCGTGGGACCTTGGGCAAGTCAGTTACTCAGCATTGTCAGTGGCTGATAATGAACAGGACAGGCCAGTATGTTAGCTTCCTGTCCCATAAAAACAAAGGCCCATAAATAGCCTTTTAACCTGGAGTACACTTCTTGATTGGGAATTTTTTTTTTTTATATAAATAAGGCAATGCCATTTCTTTGTGCAGATAAACTTCCCGAGAAGGCTGAGCGACCGGCCCGGGGTCCCTCAGCAAGCACACTCGGGATTGTCCGTGGATCCCTGCCTCAGTGCAGGCGTCTAAAGAACAGGGTGGGGCCCTGTGTGCAGACTGCCAATGTGGCATTTTCTCCAACATGCACAGCTGTTCTGTGGTGAAGCAGTTTCTGAACAGAAAAAATACAGATACCATAAAAGCTTCACAAACAATAAGCACAAATTAGGTGAGATGTTCAAAGATGCAATTATTAAAGCTGTACTTTTTCCATTCCCCCTGCTGATAGTGCTGTTTGGGGATCATCTGACAGCCCAGCTTTTTACTTAAAATAGTTAACATTTATACCTCATTTTTTAATCTGCAAAAGAAAGGGAGAGAGTATATTCCTGCCTGGCCTCTTTCCCTCTAGGGCCGATGAGAAGGTGGACATGGTGGATGGAGGTGAACATAGCCCACCCAGACCAACACCAGAGGCCCTTTAATGAGCACTTACTATGTGCCAGGCACTGGGACACACACCCAACAGGTATGATCTCATGTACTCCTTACAACCCTTCAGGTACCATTATTATCCCCATTTCATAGATGAGGCAACTGAGACCCGGAGAGGAGGAGTCTTTTGCCCCAGGTGACATAATCGGTGGCAGAGCCAGTTCTTGAGTTTGGGACCAGGACTCTGCCCTCCCATTGGAGGTTACCCTGGCCTTGCCTCTCCAGCTGCTCCTGGCCCAGCGCCCTCTGCCCCGCTCTCCACTCCGACACCGTCTCTACCCACTCCACCAGCTCTCCTGGAAGCCACCTTCTCAGCCAGGTGGTTTCCCATCCTCAGTTCTGGTCACAGGACAGAAAAGGGGAAGAACGCCCCCCTCCCACCCCCTCCCCACACCACAATTTCAGGACAAGCTCTTTCTACTTCTGCTTCCTACCTCCCTCCACCCCTCCCATGTCCACGGCCTTTTCTAGAGGCCTGGCCCAGGGGTGGAGAGAGAGAGAGAGAGAGAGAGAGAGAGAGAGATTCCTCTGCCCCAGAGGGACTGAGCAGTCCTGGTGGGGCTTGGCAGGTCCGTGTGCACACCTCTGACCTTCCATCACCCAAAGACCAGCTCAACCCGCAAGCACACAAAGACCATCACCTCTTCAAAGGGCTCACATTGTACTTTATTGATGTGTTGGGGAGGCAAGGACTTTCCACTTAAAACATTAACATTACATGTGTCTCCCCCCACTGCGGGGAAGGGTGAGATGACTCCAAGAGCAGAGGAAGGGGGAGGAAGAGGGGGTAGGGGCAGAGGGCTCTGGACCCCTGGCAGGGGTGATGGGATAGGCGAACTGAGTGGACAGGTGGGTTATTAAGAAGCATCTTGCTTACTAACATGAAGCCTCATGTCCGAGAGAGCACGGGTGAGGCCTCATTGGCTTAGAGGAGGGGCCCTTGGAGGGCAGGCACACGGTGCCCAACTAGCCAGCCAAGACTGGCACCCCAGGGACGGGGTGGAGGTGGGGGGCCGTGCACAGGGCCCCCAGCCCAGGCCTCTGCTCCCCCAGCCTCCCTCCCCGCCCTGAGAGAAAGGAGGGTTTGGGCTTTAGCCACGGACCGACGGCCGTTACCGGCAGCGTCTCCTTAAACTACAGAGATACAATGTGCATCAACAGGGTGATCACTTCTGACCCACTCAGGCAGACAGCTAGAGGTGCCGAGTGGGTCAGAACCAATCCTACAGTATCTTTGGTTTGTGGGTTCCCTTCCCTACTTTAATCCTCCCTCTTTCCAGCCTCCAGGGTGGGCCGTGGGCTGAGAATGGGCTGCTCAATGGCCCGCAGTCCAGCCGGACAGCCCTGGGAGGGTTTCCTATTCACTGAGGTGCTGGGACTTATAGGAGAGGATCTCGGCAGCCAGCTGCTGGGGGTCCAAGAGCTGTGGGAAGCGCCCCATCACGGCCTCCACCAGGCGTGGGGGGAAGACGCCACACAGCTTGGTATACACACTGGCTCGCTCCTTGGCCAGGCCGCCTGCCCCACCCCATGTGCCCCTGTCGGCCCCTGGGCTGGGCACCTGGGGCTCCTGCAGGACTGGGGTGGGTTGGGGCAGCTGGTATGGCTCAGACCAGTACTCTCGAGGTGGAAAGGCAGCCGGTGGAGGTGCGTAGTCGGCAGGGACACTGAAGTGGCCGGCACCCACAGCCCGCCCGAAGGCTGGAGAGAAGGTCGGAGCGGCTGGGAGCTTAGCCTCATAGGGGTTGTAGCCAGCGTAAGGGCTCCCTCCTCGACCCCCCCACAGTTCTGACATCTGGCTCTCCAGGGAGCCGATGCCCGAGTCCAGGCAGTCCTGAGAGGTGTACGGGAGGGAATCCAGGGTCTGTGGGAACCAGTCCGTGGGCCCAAAGCTGCTGCCACTGCCCCCACTGGGTGGGAGGCTCCTGCCTGTGGTCACTGGGACAAAGGTCTGGGTCAGACCCTCCCGGTGGGACCCTGGGGCTGCCTGGGCTCCCAGTTTCTTCCCTTCCAGGCTGCACTGCTCACGCTCTGGGGGCAGGGAGCCAGGCTGAGACGGAGATGAAGGTCGCCGGCCACTCTTGTCCTTGCCGGGGGCCCTTGGGGGCGAGAGCAGGGCATTGGCACGGAGCTCATCCGCCACGGAGCGCTGGGGACGGCTCGGCCGCTCCGGGTGGAAGAACCGGCACTTGATTCCGTAGGTGCATTTTCTTCCTGGAGAGAAGGAAGGGGGACTCTAAGCAGGGGATGTCTAGGACCGGGGGGGGCACAGGAAACTTGGGTTTGGGTGGGTACAGGTGAGAGGAAGGGGAAGGAACGAGGAGGGCCAGGGAGGGTGGAGCTGGGTCTCTTACCATAGGGACATGGCTGCTTCCTGTGATCAGCTGTGAGTGGCTTCTTACGCAGGAAGTTGTCCAGGCTTGGCCCGTGACGGCCCAAGGGGTCATCGGGGGGCATGAACCTGCAGAAGAGGGGGGAGACATGAGGGGGACTTCCCAGTGCTGGGAGGGGGCTGGACAGTGAGCCTCCCCTGGAACGATAGGAGGGCAGCTCCTAACACTGGGGCCCGTCCAGCTGGACATCCCTGGGCAACCCTCATGCTGGGCGCTCTCTGAGGCCAGAGGGAAGTGGGCAACCTGAAAATCTGAACCCGAGGCTGCGTCCACTGGCCTCAGGTCAGAGATTCAGTGCTGGGAACCCGGAGGCTCTCTTGGAGCCATTGACCACATCCTCAAATGAGGATTAAAAAAAAAAATGCTATAGCCCTGGCCGGTTTGGCTCAGTGGATAGAGTATCAGCCTGAGGACTGAAGGGTCCTGCGTTCGATTCTGGTCAAGGGCTCAATCCCCAGTAGGGGTCGTGCAGGAGGCAGCTGATCAATGATTCTCTCATCATTGATGTTTCTACTTCTCTCTCCCCCCCTTCCTCTCTGAAATCAATAAAAATGTTAAAAAAATAAAATGCTACAGCTCTGCCCTGCGCCCCTGCCTCAGCCCGGTCCCAGCCTGACCCTTCTTATGCGGTGCTGTGTCCATCTCCCCATCAAAGCTGCCTGGGTCCCCCCAGCAGAGGCCCCTCCCTCCGGCGGGAGCGTACTTGTCGTTGACGAAGGAATACATGAGCAGCCGCTCCTCGATGAAGCGCTTCCACTCCTGCCGCTCGCCCTGGAGGTCCCGGTACGTGTCGTTGGAAACCACCACCCCGTCAGACTCGAAGGCCAGTTTCACGATGAAGCGGTCATCGTAGCACACCACTCGCTTGCCACCCACGCGCCGCGACGGTGTGAACACCAGGATCTTCTTCTTCTCCAGTTCCCGCAGGATGTGCTGGTCTGGGAGGGGCAGGGGTACAGGTCAGAGCCCAGCCTGGACCCAGGACCAGGCCCACTGGGCTCCCTAACCTCCTGGCGGCTGGCACAGGAGCTCCAGGGACGGACGCGGCTCTGCTGAGGCCACTGCCACACTCAGCCCCTCCCCTGGGCCTGGCACACGGTTTGCTGCCTAAAAACCCAGCACATCTGAAAACAGACCTGTAGGCCCGCTCAGCAGAGGCTCCCTCCCCTGGGCCTGGCACACGGTTTGCTGCCTAAAAATCCAGCACATCTGAGAACAGGCCGTAGGCCCGCTCAGCAGAGGCTCCGAGCACAGAGCTGGGCCTTAACCTTCTCTCCTGCGTATCAGCCTGTTCGTGCCACAGAGGGCTCGGCTCCGGTGCTCACCCCGCCGTCCCGCAGGGGTCCGTGAATGAGCCCCAGCGTGGAGAGGTGTCTTGGCTCTGTCTCCTGTGTGGCCAGGACAAAGCTGCAAGAGCCCATTTGAGAGACCACTTCTCCTAGAGCGGGTGGCCCCAGCCAGCCTGTCCCAGATCTCAAGACTTCCAGGGAAACGAACTCGGGTTTTTCCTCTCAAAGGTTAGGGGCTCTTGTAAGGACAATGGTGAGCAGCCAGCATGTGCTGAGCACTGACTATGTGCCTGGACCCTTCTAAGCACTGACGATGCGTTAACTCATGTGATCCTCACAACAACCCCGAGAGATTATCAACCCCACCCGTCTCCGGTGAGGAGCACGTGGCTCTGAGCAAGGTTGCCAGAAGGCCAGGGCCAGGATTCCAGAGCCCACGGGCTCAGCCACCGCACCACGCTGCCCCTGGGGATGTGGAGAGGGCGCCCCACCATTAGAGGAGGGAGGTGCCCAGTGCTCAGAGGCAGAGGCTACGGCCACACACACAGGGTCTGTTCTGGGGAGAAGCAGGGCTCCTGGGGCGGCAAGCCCGCCCCCTCCAGAGGTGTCACTCACCTGTGATGGGCACATCCGGCCGGGGCTGCTCCTTTCTCCAGGACGGCACGAACACCGTGATGTCTGTGTGGCCCCGCTCCAGGAACCAGTTCACGGCCAGCAGGATGCCCCGGCAGGAGAAGACCTCCTTGTTCCCATGGCTGCGGGGGAGAGGAGGGGGGTCAGGAGGGAGGGGGTCCCACTCCAGCCCCTGCCCTGGCTCTCAGCCCACCCCTTTCAGGCCGGGCCCCACGCCTGCATTCCCTGCTGGTTCCCACAGCGCCCAGGATGACCAGACCTGGGACTTTCCCTGAGGTCCCATCTCCCAACAGTGAGGAAACGCCCAGGAATCTGGCAACACTCGCTCCCCGTGTGGGGGAGGGTCAGGCTGCTTACAACACACCTGGGGGTGGGGGAAAGGCACTGGAGACTTCTGGTTCCTGCCCCACCCCGGGTGCTGGGACCAGGGGACACAGATGTCCACAGGCAGACTGAGTCACCACCCTCCCTCATCCAGGGGTGGGGGTGGGGAAGGCACCCGCCCCGCCAACAGAAGAGAAACCAGATTGTTCTGGATTAAAGTTCAGTCCTGCACTAACCTCAGGGGCTGGGGCTGAGGAGGATGAAGGGGAAGGAGCCACACCCCCACCTCTCGGGAGGGAAGGCAGCCACAGATGCGGGAGGCTGCCCGCCGCGGAGCCTTTCAGTTTGAAAGTGAAAGGACACAGCTTTTCCTCTCAAGACCGCCAATTCCCCAAAATGCCTAAATTGCCCTGTCTTCTCTTCCCCCCTCTCAGAAGGGCATGACCTGAGGCAGGAAGACAGTCTGGACCCGGGGACTCCGAGAGGAGTTGGGACACGGGACATGCCCCTGCCGTGGTCTCATGACCACACCGCACCCCATCCTGATGCGGCTGGATCCTGAGTTGCTGCTGGTTGCTCTGGCTCAGTTTCCCTATCTGAAAAATGGGCCTGGTTGTCTGCAGCCTCCTTAAGAAGGGCCCATATCAGTGGGACAACTTTCCTGTTTGCTTGAGGCCAAAGACAGTCCAGCAAAGTGGAGGGTCTCGCTGGATTCTTGGGTGTGTGTGTGTGTCGGCGGGGGAGCTCCCAGGTAATACTGGGTGTGGTGGAAGAGCTCCGGACCAGGCTGGCGGGCTGGAGGAGGCCAGCTGGAGATCTCTCCCCAACACTGCTGGCCTCCCACTAATCCCTCAGTGAACAACTCAGACTCTCATATTTGGCAAATAAAACAGAATAAACGTTACACAAGAGACTCAGGTCCATGGCCGACCACATCCTGTGGGTGGCTTCTGGTGGTGGTGGGGTGATAGCTGAGCCCCAAGAGAAGGTAGGGAGGCAGGGTAGCTGGGGGCACAGAGCTATTGGCGGTGAGGCCGGGACTCCCGGGTCTGAAGGTCTCTAAACTGCAGGGGAGGCAAAGTCCGGCCTGAAGGCAGTGCTCATTCCTGCCAGGTGGGGCGTCCCCGCCAGGTGCATCCGCCAGCTGCTTATGATACAAGTTAACATCCACTAGCGCTCTGCACCAGGCTCCTTTCCCCTGTAGTCAGGTGAGAAAACGGTGGCCCACAGAGGACAAGTGGTTGCCAGCACCACACAGCAGCAATTGTGGAACAGGGATGCAACCCCAGAACCTGTGCTCAGACGCACCATGTCGATGCTCAGACAGGGGCCAGCCTGGCGGTAGGGATGGAGGGGGATTAGCGGGTACCCAGCTCCTACGGGAGGCCAGGCGCATCCCACACCTCCTTGCTCCATCCTTTCCCGAGCTCGCTGCAGTGAAGGAAACCCAGGCTCTGAGAGTCCTCTAAGATGCCCTGGCTGTGGTAAGAGAGAGAACCTGAACACAGGCCTGGGGCCCGTGGATTGCGTTCCTGTCCCCAACAGCAAGATCTGAAGTTTATTAGGAGAAAAAGCTCCCAGCCCTCGCCGGTTTGGCTCAGTGGATAGAGTTGTCGGCCTGTGGACTGAAGGGTCCTGGGTTTGATTCCGGTCAAGGGCACACGCCCGGCTTGCGGGCTCAATCCCTGGAGAAAAAGCTCCCAGCCCTCGCCGGTTTGGCTCAGTGGATAGAGTTGTCGGCCTGTGGACTGAAGGGTCCTGGGTTTGATTCCCGTCAAGGGCACATGCCCGGCTTGTGGGCTCAATCCCTAGTGGGGGGTGTACAGGAGGCAGCCAATCAATGATTCTCTCTCTTCATTGATGTTTCTATCTCTCTCTCCCTCTCCCTTCCTCTCTGAGATCAATAAAAATATATTAAAAAAAGAAAAGAAAAAGAAAAAGCTCCCTTGCCGTAGCCGGTTTGGCTCAGTGGATAGAGTGTCGGCCTGTGGACTGAGGGGTCCTGGGTTCGATTCCGGTCGGGGGCATGTGCCTTGGTTGCGGGCACATCTCCGGTGGGGAGTGTGCAGGAGGTGGCTGATCGATGTTTCTCTCTCATTGATGTTTCTGACTATCTCTCTCCCTTCCTCTCTGTAAAAAATCAATAAAATATATTTTAAAAAAGAAAAGAAAAGAAAAAGCTCCCAAACTTGAGTTTGTACCCAGTGTTAGGAGGCAGGGGCAGGCCGGGGACAGGAAAAATGACGCAACTGGCAAACTTCTCCCCGATCAGGTCCCATGTGAGGGGCCAGCACCTCCGAGAAGCCTCCCCTGGCCTTCCAGGACGGGTAATGCCCACTGCAGTGCGGGACGAAAGCTGGCTGTCGGGAGGCACGCCCGGACTGGGAGGGCAGTGCCAGGTGCTCCGCTCCCCCATCACCTTACTCCCTTCCCTGGGCCTTCTGCTCTGTCTTCCCGGGACTGCAGGGATGCGATCGTCCCTGGCTTGGCTTCCTCTCGCAGGTATGCAGTCTGCACGTGCACCCACTTACCTCCTCCTATACACACGTGTGTACATGCAATGCCCCATCCTAGGCCAGTACCTTCAAGCCCTGGGACTCCATGGAATGCCAGGGCTTCCAGGTCAGCGCACTGCCTTCGTGCATCAAAAACCTTGGCTGGGACAAGTCTGATCTCAGCCTGCCCCTCCCTCCTAACACTTGGTACAAACTCAAGTGTGGGAGCCTTTTCTCCTCACGAACTTCAGATCTTGCTGGTGGGGACAGGAAGGCAATCCAGGGGCCCCAGGCCTGGGCTCAGGTTCTGTCTCTTACCTCTAGCCCTAGTCTTCAGAATGTCCCCGGGACAGGGAGTCAGAGCCTGGCTCTTGGCAGAAGTAGAACATCACAGACAGCCCTCCCAGGCCGGGAGTGCCTCGACAGCTACCTTCAGGCCCTCTCATTGCAATGGAGGAAGCTGTCGGCATAGGAACACCAGATATCCTCCCACCCCCACCGCAGTCCTGTGTGCCCAGAAGGTCAGGGCCCCTCAGCCTGGCTAACTAGACCCTGGTAAGAGACTCAGTGGCTCCCACCCTAGGACAGAGGGCTGGGTCAAGCCAGGCTACTCAGGTGAAAGATCTGCCAGGGCTGGGCCCAGCTAGAGAAAAATTCCCTTAGAAGGAAACAGAGGTGAATTTCCCCACGATTTGCATACGGTGTGGGCTGGCCCATCTGCCCTTGTGGGGGAGGGGGCAGCAGGGCAGGAACCCAGAAACAGCTGAGACAGGAAGTCTGAGGCTGGAATTCCCCTCCGCTAGAGCTAGAGCCTCAGCTCAGAAACCCCCGGTGGCTCTGCCCCTCCAGCCAGCTCCTCTAGCCACCCCCTCCATGATCTGCCCCTCCTCCCTCCCAGGCCCCACCTTCTTCTGCCAGGATACAAACACACACACACACAGCACACGGCTGCTCCCGGCTCAGCACTCTGGCCCATAGACCTATCCAGCCACACGCTGATGGAGCCTGAGAGGGGACCCCAGACTTTCAAAGCACATGCTGTGACCAGCAGCCACTAGCACGTGGGAGCCAGCTTTACCCAAACTTCTACCCATTTCAGAGATGGGAAGACTGATCTAAAGATGGCTAAGCTGGGCCAGGACCAACCAGACAGCTGACTTGACCCAGCTGGGCAGTGGGAGGGGCAGAAGGGGGCCAAGGGCACGGAGGCCTCAGGCAGTGCAGCTGGGAGGTCCCTAAGAGCAACCAGTAGCCCACCCATGTCTGGGGGTTCCCCGTCCACACCCATAGGTACTTTTCCTCATTGGAGGGACTGGAAGAAAGCAGGGCCAGAGGCAACCCTGGCCCCAGCCCATCCCATTCCGTTAAAGCCTGTAAGGGGGGGGGGGCGGTACTGGGGTTGAGCCCCAGGGAGTCCCCAGAGCCCAGTCCAGCCTAGTGGCTCTAGCTGAATCACAATGGACCCAAGTCACAGCTCACCTGAAGCCAAAGCATCAGGTCACTGGCCCATAGGCCCCACAAAGAGCCAGAGCTCGAGATCACCCTTGGTCATAGCCACAAAGACCTCAGGAGCTGGCCTGCTTCCATGGGAGCCCAGACCCTGAATCACTGTAATAGTATCAACTGCTGCCGTTTCCTGAGCAGCTACTCTAGGTACTGTAGCGACGCCTTCCAACCAGCACCTGCGGGCTGGGTGAGAACTGATAACAGGAGAAGAAGGCTCAGCGAGGGCAAATGACTCCAGGCCCTTCTCGGATGAGCTGGAGCCTGTCTGATTCCTTCCGCGGTGCTGCCTCAAGTCACAGGAGAGGAACTTGACCCTCAGGAAGGCAAAGAGCACAGGGTGAGCTCTGGAGACAGAGGACCCAAGTTCGAATCTGTGCTCCACTGCTCCCCAGTAGTGTGACCCCGAGCAAGTCTTTCAGCCTCTGTTCTCATCCCTAAAACATTCCTAGCAAATCCACTTCCAAGAGGCCATGAGGATTATGGGAGCCTCCTGACGCACAGTAGGGCCTCACTAAAGGGCTTTCCTTTCCTTTATAAAAGTATGTGAGAAGATGTCAAACTCTTTCCTGAAGGCCCCTCTACCAGACATGCAGACACTGGGCCACCATTCCCAGCCACGTCTCAGCCACAAAAGTGACACGTACCTCATGGCCACATTGCTCCCGTCGATGACCACGGGCCTCAGGTCACTGCCCTCCTTGTCCTCCTCCAGGGATGAGGGCTCCAGGGTGGGAGCCTTGGGGGTGCCCCCACCCCGGGGGACCAGAGGAAGCTGAGGACAGGGGTCTGGCGAGGCCTGGCGCTCCCGCTCAGCGGCTGACCCGTGCTTCACCAGCTCGCCCAGCACGGTGTTGGTGTCTGCGTGGACCCCCAGCTTCTGCAGGACGCTGTGGATCTCAGCGGAGGAGTAGCCCAGCTTCCGGAAGAAGTCCACCTTCATCTGCAGCTCGGCAGCAGAGGCCTCCTCCGCGGGGGGCTCCTGGGCTGACCTGGGGGTAACTTGGCAGCTGTGCCTATCTTCAGGTTCCCACAGACTCATGGTGGGGGCTGGCTTCTCGGTGGGCCTCTCTCCGCCAGCCACTCACAGATCAGACCGGTGGAAGGCACCAGTCACAGCTCCTGGTGGGAAAACCACAGGGTTAGGGATGGGGAATGGCTCTCTTCCACCCCCCTCCGCCCCGCCCCACCCAGCGGAAGGAGGCACCGCTGGTGGCACTCTGCACGCATCTGGTCATCCTCCCACAGCGCCCCAGCGAGGGGTCAGCATTCCCAAGGATGAAACTGAGCCACAGACACGAAGCACTTGCTCAAGGTCATCCGGCTGGTAGGCTGGTGTCGCAAGTATTTGAACTTAGTCTGACTCCACCTCCTACCCCAAGCTCAGCCCCACCCCAACCCAAGGGACCCAGATGTCCTGGGAGGCCTTAGAAGACCTTGCCGCGCCCCCACAGCTGCGGGGCGGGACGC